CTGACTCTGTTCTCTCTGTTTCAAACTAATGAATTATTCTGATTTCATCACTTAGATTGTAAATGTTTTATCACTCTTACCTGCAATCCTCAGTGATATGAAAAATCATAAAGAATAAAATACTTTAGTTCATTTGTTTTTCTTTTATATTTGAATGATACTGTAACACCATGTTGAGATTAAACAAGATCTTTCTGAGGTACAAGAGAATCCTGGACTCAGAATCAGCTTTATTTGCTAGGTATGTTCACAGATACGAGGAATGTGACTTTGATAGACTGTGTTTTATGTAGAAAAGTAAAACATGAAATATTATAAAATCAACGAAAGCATTAAATGTACAAGCCTACATGAGACAATAGTGCTGGTGTGTGACGTGCAAAGATGCTAATTCACATGATAATAAATGATGTTATTGTGTAACAGATGGATTAATTTACAGGAGGTATTGACCCAACACGACCTCATTATGTATTGATCATGTCAATAGTGAAATGTGCACCCCTGTCTCTGCCCCTGCAGTGTGTGGGTGTGTATCTGTGTCAGTAGTGTGTCTAGGTTAATCAGGTGGTGATGGATGCTGCTGCTGAGTGGAGGTAGAAAAGAGAATTGCCATGACGGTAGTGGCCGAATGCTGACACTGAAGCTTTTAAAATCTCAGCTGCTGCAGCCTGCTCGCTCCTTCTCCGGCCACTTCAAACAAAGCCAGCTTGACATTTGAAGATTATAAAGATAGTACATTTTTAAGATTGATTAGCGTGTGTACATAGCTAAATAGAGAGTTGTTTTGTAAATATACTGTATGTAAATTTAAACACTGTAAGAAATTGTGCACCACACAGAAGTGATTTTCACAAATGTCATTTTGTTTGCTTTGATGTAAAGAAAGATTAGGGTTGTTGCTACCCACCTTTTGCTTGTTATTTTCTGCTCTGAAGAAAATAAACTGCTGTTGGAAGTTGACTTGGGCTGCTGGATTTCTTGGGAGTGTGAAGAGTGGGTGAAGGGGAGTTTCTCCTGATGTCCAAAAAAAGGAAAAGCTGAAGTAGAAGCTATTCAGGTCTTCAGCCAGTCTATTGTACCTACAGGTTGGGAGGAGGGTCTACTGTAGTTGATGTCCTGCAGGTCTCTCCAAACTGACGCAGGGTCGTCTGAGAAGCTGTGTTTTAGCTCTTATTAGCTGCTCTGATCTGTTTTGTCAGCTGGTTTTTGGCCTGCTTGTACAGATACTGGTCCCCACTCCTAAAGGCCTCCTCCTTCACCTGACACAGCTGCTTTCGATGTGGTGAAAACCCAGGTTGTAAGCCAGACCCTATGACCCACCCTGTGGCAAGGAGCAGGAGAGGGCGCTTGTCTACCAACCTCTTGTACCAGCTGTAGGTGCAGAGGAGAGCTGCTCGGGTTTTCTCCAGGTTATGTGGCAGAGACGCACCAAAACCCAGGTTGTAAGCCAGACCCTATGACCCCCCCTGTGGCAAGGAGCAGGAGAGGGCGCTTGTCTACCAACCTCTTGTACCAGCTGTAGGTGCAGAGGAGAGCTGCTCGGGTTTTCTCCAGGTTATGTGGCAGAGACGCACCAAAGCCAGAGCTGATGGCACCACAACCTACCCCTCTACTTCAGGAAACAATGGTGGCTGGTAACTACACACACACTGGAAAGGAGAAAGTCCTATGGCAGAGACAGGGAGAGAATTGTGACCATACTGGATTCATATTCAAATGCTTGCTCCAGAGTGAAGGATCATGGGATACATCAAAATGGAGTCTGGTCTCAAGCTCCTGAATGTAGTCTTCCAGGTAGAAACAAGAGGACAGACTAGCTGTGGCCCCAAAGAGTCTATAGAACTCCTTCCAAAACCAAGAGTCAAACTGGGGGCCCCTGGTCTGACACAACATCCTGAGGGTTTACATACAGCTGAAAAACATGAGATAACATGACCTCTGCCATCTCCATGTCAGAGGGAAGCTTTGGCAGAGGGACAAAATTAGCCATTTTAGAAAATCTGTCCACCCCTCTCCTCAGTTCTTCTCAAATGTTACACAAGTGTCTATCAATCATTCACGTTTGTGCATTTATATGAATGTGCATATATAAATATATATATGTGTGTGTGTGGATGAGATGCCTGGAGATGCTAAAGGCTCTGGACATTGTTGGGCTGTCTTGGGAATGGGAATTTGCTCATCCAGTGTTTTGTGGACTTAGAGAAGTATTTTGACCGTGTCCCTCAGATGATAGTGTGGGGAGTACTGCGGGAATACGTGGTCCCAGGGCCGTTGCTACAAGCCATCCGGTTCCTGTATGACACAAGTGGGAGCTGTGTCCGCATCCTCAGCACAAAGTCAGACACGCTCCCAATGGGTTTTGACCTTGCCAGGGTTGCCCCTTGTGTTTGTGATTTTCCTGGACAGGAACTCAAGGTGCAAAATCTCATCTCTGCTTTTTAACCACAAAACCGACCTCCCTCTCATACATATATATTAACCTGAAAAAAAGATTTAAAGAATTTCCCTAGATGAAACAAACTTAAACTGTGCAATTAAAGATAGACTTATACAAGAAATGTACATAACCCATGCAGGGATAAAAATATATGTGTAATTTAAAACAACAACCTATAAACAGTTGAGGGAAAAAAAATCTGTAATTAGACCACAATATATATAAAAAAAAAAGATTGACCTTCTGAAGTTATGTTGTTTATGTATGTACAGCAATGTTTTAAAAACAGATAGTGCAGAGTTATCAAAAACAGGCATTAATTTAAATAACAGGCAGTGCAAACATTAAATTAAAGGTGCTATGTAAGTAATTGAGGTGATCATTAAAGTGTCCAACTAGAGGCTGACTCTTGGGACAGCTGTGCAGATGGGAAATGGAAAAAGGAAGATTTTAGTCCAAGTGTGTGCTGCTTTCCCCCTGCCATAACCGTGAGGTGTTGTACAGACGTATGGCCAGGGGGACAAAAGAGTTCTTGAGTCTGTCTGTGGAGCAGGATTGTGACTGCAGCCGGCCACTGAACACACTCCTCTGCCTGGTGAAGGTGCTGTGCAGAGGGTGGTGGGTGTTGTCCATGATGGAGAGCGTTCTGTTCAGGGTCCTTCTCTCTGGTAAAACATCTGCAGCAGCTTCTTACAGATGTTGAAGGACCCCAGCCTTCTCAGGAAGTACAGACGGTTCTGTCCCTTCCTGCAGATAGTGTCCATGTTTGATGACCAGTCCAGCCTGTCGTCCAACTGCAGCCCCAGGTACCCGTAGGTCTTGACCACCTCCACGTCAACCCCCCCGATGGAAACAGGTTGTAGATGTGGCTTGTTCCTTCGATTATATATCCCATCTAGCTTTGGAACGCCTCGGAATGCCCCAGGAGGAGAGATGTAGTCTGGGTTGGTGCTGCCGGGGATTAGCATGCCCAGGCATCCAGCTGGGCTTGTATTTAATTCTTGAGGGAGTGTTGGAGGTTGATGGTTGGAGCCAAGGAGAACCACTCCTTGTGGGATTGAAATAGCCTCTTCGGCTTCAATATTCCATGCATATCTTGCTCCTGGGCAAATGAGAGCATTGAGAAGAGCTGCAGCAGAACTATAGTTCCTAATAAAATGTCAATAGAAGTTAGCAAACCCTGGAAATCTTTTCTCCGCCTTGACAAATTGTTGATTCTCCAGCAACCATTGTAACACGTGCTCTTCCCCTGGCTGGAGAAGATCAAAATTCATCAAGGTAGACAAAAACAACCTTGTTCAACATGTCTTTTAGAACAGTGGTTCTCAACTCATGGGTCGGGACCCAAAAGTGGGTCGCAGAGCCGTTTTCAGAGGGTCGCGAAGGTGTGCCTGGGGAAAAAAGTGTCAAAAAAATCTATGAAGCACTTTTAAAACATGTTTGCTTTGTTTTCCTCTCTTTGTTCTGTCTCATGTTTTGAACTGTCTGAGGTCCAAACCTTTTTTCATTAACAGATCTAAATTTTTGAAAAATATCAGAAGTTTGGGTGGGACTTTCTCATTAAGGAGTTGGTGATGAGTCCTGAGGCTAAACCAGTTGAGAACCAGTACCTCAGAATGTCATTCTCCAGGACCTGAAAAAAAAACTGCTGGGGCATTAGTGAAATGGCATGACCTGATATTCTTCGTGGCCACGAGGTGTGTTCAAGGCGGTTTTCCATTCATCCCATTCAGCCTCAGGACCCACCACCAACTCCTTAAAGAGAAATTGCGATCCAAATTTTAATTTATTTTGTACAAACCAAATTTATTTAAAGAGTCCATATTATGCCCTTTTTGGGGTTCATATATTTAATCTATGTATCTACTAAAGTATGTTCACAATAGATAAAGTTCTAACAAAGTGTCTGTTTTCATGAACTGCTGCTCCATGCACCGGCTCGCTTCTGACTCTCTCTCTAAGGCTCTGAAGTGCCCACGTTCAGAGTCCCCACGTGTGCCCAGTCTGATCTGATTGGTCGGCCTGTGGGCTCTGTCGTGATTGGTCAGTCGCTCAGTACGGTTCTCGGAAATGTCCCACCTCTTTTACCATATTGGGAATGCAGCTACTGGCTCCGAGGGGGAGCAAAAACACTGGTATGCAAATGGAAATGGCAACTTCACCAATCTGACAGAGAGGAGGAACAAACACAACAACCTTTGCCACGAAGGCATGAGCACGACGTTTCAGTGTTGGAGGTATTTATTTTGCAGCATATGTTAGCCTCTTCCAATTTAACTGACTGGAGCTACCAGCATATTTCCCTATTCCAAAAATATATATCTTACTCGTGGCTTCACAAAGTTTGGCTTTATTACAATATGATTATTGGCCACAAATGTGTTCTGTACAATACATTTTATTGTATTTACATTAGTACTGTACGTTTATTGCAGCGACTCACCTTGTTCTGCATTGTATATCACCTCCTTGATGTGATTAAAAATTCAATGAGCAATTGTAAGTATCAATGACATCATAGACTTACTACAAAAGCTCAGGTGATAATCACGTGTTTGTTGGATCAATATCTCATGCAATAATGTTTCCTCCTCTGTCATTATTTTCCTTCTTATTGAACATTATTTCATTTTAATCAGTATCTTCTTCTTTCATCAGGAGAATGAATCCGCTGCCTGTTCCTTGTACCAAAAACATCCAGGACTGTTTAAACCCATATACACTTCAAAACATCCACAACATCTTCAGAGGAGAACATCAAGGAGAACTGCAGAAGAGTATGTTCATCATAAATAGTGATTTACATCTTCAATCAAATTCATTCTAATCAAACAGTTTCACTATTTCAGAGGAATAAAAGTAAACAAGTGAGAAAATCATTTGTTGAAAGTGCTTTATTCTCAGCTAAAGTTAAAAAACATTTAAATGTGTCGAACTATACGTGTGAATATACAATGAGAAGTAACATTTTTACATCCATCTATATTGTCTCATACAGGCTGTGCAGACACTTGGCAGTGGTTGGAGTGGTTATCCTGTCGTGTGTCGTCCTGAGGATTCGCCCCGAGTTTCCTGACCCGACTGGACAGTATGTTGGCTTCCGCCCGCCCCTTGACTACACCTGGACACGTGTCGAGCCACCCATCCTTCTTTTTGAGAGTCCGGCATTTTCTGCAGCTCCTCCATGAATGGTTCTGGTTCCTGAAACACCTCCTCCAACACCAGTGCCATCAAGTCCCCGACATATCCTGTAAAAAAGTAATTCAAGAACAAAAATCTATTTCATATTGTTTGGTTATTGCTCATTTTTCACAAACATCTGAAAAATGAGCTCAGCTAACAATGCTATACCTGTTACCGCTTTAGATGAAAGTTGATAAATAGTTTAGTACTGCTCTAATTTAGAAAAATAGCATTACTTAGCATGTTAGCCGAGGCTTACAGTTCAGCTACAGACAGACTCCACAGAACTAATGTATCCAGCAGCTCAAAAGTTGTTTTCAAACAAATAAAAAAGACAATTAATGAAGCGTACTTACATGTTGTGGTTGTGAACTTCCAGAAGCATCAGAATCTCCACAGAGAGAAGGAGCTGAAACTTCTTTCCAAGTCCGTCTTTTGCTCAAGCTAACGTGCATTAGCACCTTAGCACTACTGTGCTACCGCAGGCTGCGGCATATCGTGGGCGTGCTACAGAAGTTAATGAGCGTGCAACATGAGCTGCAGGGCCACAACGAGCCAATGGGCTTAGATCAGTGATCTCACACTGACAACACGTCACATTGATACATTTTTGTAGACTGAAGAGCATATAAAACCAGAAAAAGCAAAATATGACCCCTTTAAACCGGCCGGTTGATGTCTCCATAGCGACTCCCACCGTTCACGCAGCTGATGATGTCTCCATAGCAACTCCAGCCGTTCACGCAGCTGATGATGTCTCCATAGCAACTCCCGCCGTTCACACAGCTGATGATGTATCCATAGCAACTCCCACCGTTCACGCAGCTGATGATGTATCCATAACAACTCCCGCCGTTCACGCAGCTGATGATGTATCCATAGCAACTCCCGCCGTTCACACAGCTGTCTGTACCTTTGATATGATTTTTGACACATTCTCTCACAGGAAAAGCACAGAGGTAAGTTTCTGGGTAAAATAACAAATAAAGACGTCCAGGAATAACTAAAGCAATACTTTAAAGGTCCCATATTCTTCTTTTTCTGGTTTTATATGCCCTTCAGTGTGTTTTCAAAGTGTCCTGTGCATGTTTAGGCACATCTATTTGCAAAAATTCAAAGTCCGCGTAAATGAGGCTTCTCCTACGTCCTCCTGTTGGCTATAGCTGTTCTGGCAGGTCGTCAACCAACGATCTTGAGGAGCCTAAGAGAGCTCAAGAGCTCCCAGGAAAGTAGGTGGTTAGTGACTGAGATTTACAGATAGACACATGCAGTAATATGATGTACTGTATGTGCACAGAGAGAGAGAGGAGCTCAAGGTGCCAGTTCCCCCGGTGGTCTAAGCCTATAGCAGCATAACTAAGAGCTGGTCTACACCAGCACTAACTATAAGATTTATCAAAAAGGAAAGTTTTAAGTCTATTCTTAAAAATACAGGCTGTGTCTGCCTCCCGGACCCCGGAGGAGGAGCCCGATAACTGAAGGCTTTACCTCCCATAGTACACTTAGAGACTGTAGGTACCACTAGTAGGCCTGCATTCTGGGACCGTAATGTTCTCGAGGGGCAGTACGGCACTAGTAGCTCCTTAAGATAAGATGGTGCCTGGCCATTTAGAGCTTTGTAAGTGAGAAGAAGGATCTTGAATTCTATTCTAGACTGTATAGGGAGCCAGTGCAGAGAAGCCAACACAGGAGTAATGTGGTCCCTTTTCCTAGTTCTAGTCAGTACACGAGCTGCAGCGTTCTGGACCAGTTGAAGAGTCTTTAGAGACTTACCAGAGCACCCTGACAAAAGAGAGTTACAATAATCCAATCTGGAGGTAACAAATGCATGAACTAGTTTTTCTGCATCATTTTCCGACAGGATATTCCTGATCTTGGATATATTACGAAGGTGAAAATAGGCTGTTCTTGAAATTTGCCTGATGTGAGAGGTAAAGGACATATCTTGATCAAATAAAACTCCTAGATTCCTAACAGTGGTGCT